CATCAGTGGTTTCAGACAGCTTTTGTTTTCACTTTAGTGCACAGACTGTCAAATTTATGGGATTACCCAATATAGTCAAACTAATTAGGGGTATTTATATTACTAAAGCAAGTTTAGCTGCCTCTGAGCTAGAGAAAACTGCTGTGAAATTAAACATTGGAAGCAAAACTGATGCGGTGTAAATGATTCAAATCAAAACAGAACAGCTGTCTGCCTGAAACACATTGACAGCGTTTTTTTTTTTTTTCCAATGAATCAGTCAGAAGTGAGAGTTCAACTCCAGAGGCTTTGAGGAAAAGCATGTCTTCTGCACAACCCAGTTACAGTGATGAAAATCACCATAAGGAAAAGTCAGTACAAAATTCTGGTTACAGGTACATGATATGAGAGAACTTTTGATATGTGTATTCACTGCTAAAGGTTCAATATCAAAGTATAATAAATCCTTTAATCTTCAGTATCCCCTCCTTCCTCTGCATTTTAAAAACGTTGGCATCTGTCCCAAGCATTAAAAGCACAAAGCACAGGGTCAAAACGGATTTAAACCCAGATCCTGAGGCCAGAACCACTGTACCACACATCCTCCAATCTTAGAAACCAAGGAACCCAGCTGAGTGCAGTGGCTCACACTTGTAATCTCAGCACTTTGGGAGGCCAAAGTGGGAGAATCATTTGAGCCCAGGAGCTCAAGATCAGCCTGGGCAACATAGCAAGACTCCCATTTCTCAATAAAAATCAAAAAATTGCTTCTTTCCCAACTTGGGCCCAGCAGAATGGCACCCATAAAAAAGGGTAGAGAGAAGAAGAAGGGTCATTCTGCCATCAACGAGGTACTGACCCAAGAACACACCATCAGCATTCACAAGCCCATCAAGGAGCATGCCCTTCGGGCACTCAAAGAGATCCAAAAATTTGCCATTAAGGAGATGGGGACTCCAGATGTACACATTGATGCCAGGCTCAACAAAGCTATCTGGGCCAAAGAAATAAGGAATATCAGGTATCATATCCATGTGCAGCTGTCTAGAAAATGTAGAGGATGAAGACTCACCAAACAAGTTTTATACTTTGGTGACCTACATACCTGCTACCACTTTATTTATTTATTTATTTATTTTGAGTTGGAGTCTCACTCTGTCACCCAGACTGGAGTGCGGTGGCCACTCCTAGCCACCGCAGCCTCGACCTGCTGGGCTCTGGCGATCCTTCCGCCTCAGCCTTCCAAGTAGCTGGAACTACCAGGCACGCGCTACCACGCCCGGTTCATTTTTGATTTATTGTAGAGATGAGGTCTCACCAAGTTGCCCAGGTGGGTCTCAAACCCGCGGGCTCAGGCATTTCACTCACCTCGGCCTCCCAAAGCGTGGGATTACGGGCTGAGCCACCGAGCCCGGCCAAGTTTAAACATTTTCCACCTAATATTTTTTTAAATGGCTAAAATTCAGATGTTGAGAAATAAACAAATGCTAAAATTCTAATAATAGACTGAAATAATGCCACGAACTAAAATCATGTAGTTTTGTGTAGCTCATCAACTGTCTAAAAAGCAATGCAACCTTATTTTTGTTGAATTTACTGTATCTTGCTTGGGTCTTGGGTGTCCTGTCATGGCTGAAGTGTATATGTCAAGGTGAGCAGGGCTTGGAGAGCTATTAGCCAAGACCACTCTAGTGAGAGGGGAAGGAACCTCGCTGGAGGCTACTTAACTCATTCTGAGTTTCAGAATAGGTTTCTCAGAGCCCAGGGAATTTTTCCCCCCTCAGAATTGAGAGATAATTTACATAATGTAAAATTCACTATTTTAAAGTATACAATTCAGTAATTTTTACTACATTCACAAAATTGTGCAATCATCACCACTCTTGAATTCTAGAACATTTTTATCACCCCAGAAAGAAACCCCACAGAGGTTAGCAGTCATTCCCTGTCCCTGCTTACTCCAGCCCTAGGCAACCATCAGTCTGCTCTCTGTCTCTCCCTTTGCCTACTCTGGACACTTCATGTGAATGGAATCACACACCATGCATTGTGACTGGCTTCTATTTTTGAGTTTCATCCATGTTGTATTAAGTATCAGGTACTTCATTTTTTTTGTGGCTGAAAAATACTCCATTATGTGGCTGTATCACATTTTGTTTACTCGTTTGCCAGCTGATGAATATTTGGGTTGTTTACACTTTTTGGCTAGTATAAATAATGCTGTTATGACATTATTCTGATTTTATACCTTGTTGGACGATATTATGATACTTGGGGCCCAAAGGCATTGGAAGGTAGTCAGGGAGGTCTGTTAAAAATCTCCAAGCACAACACCGAGACCCTTCTTAAGCCTCTCTTGAAGGGGTATCCCCTGGGACATGCCCAGTGGTTGTCCAATCACCGAGGAAATGCTCTTCCCAGAAAGAAGTTTACGAGTCTATGATCATAGCCAACAAGAGACAAGGTGTTGTATGACCCTTTTTTGGTTTAAGAGGTGACAGGCTGAATCCAACTTGGGCTCAATTATTTTGTAAAGCATTTTGTTTATTTGACCTCTCTTGACCCAGGAAATAATTCTAACCAATCAGTGCTGTCTCCCTTTGGCACTGGGGTCGAGTTGCTTTACAGCTGGTGAC